GAGTCCTGCTCCACCCACCACTGCAAGTGGGGCTGAATTACATCACTGCTTCCTGGAGAAAGAACTACAGATGGGATGTGCCAAGATCAGTGGCTGGGGGCATAGGAGGCATAGCAGCCACTGGTCTTACAAACAGGAAACAGAAGAGAATTAACGGTTTGATTTGAAAATGAACAGGATATTTCAGAGCAACTCTTGAGTGAACCAGAAGATGGATGACATATGCAGTGAAAGTAGGAAATCAGCAACAAGGACATGTAAAGAAGTTTTTGCCCGAAGTTCTGCTTTAACAATGTGCTACACATGGCTCAGGATTGCAAACACTGCTCAGTCTACTAGAGGTGAGTAAAGAAATATCCCACTGGTTAGCTACAGGGGTGTCCAACTCACTAGCCAGGATACCAAGGAATACACAACAATCATTACTGCATTCCTTAGAATATTTTTTGTTCTCCTAGGTTTCTTCTAAACTGATTTAATAAAACAGGAGCTGGACTGGTCCTATAATCAAAGAAAACACCACAATCATCTGGTTTGTACACAAGGGGTCCAAGCTACACCAGCAATGTTTAATCAGTTGGTACCATGTGACTACTACATGTGCACAATCAGCTCATTGCAGAACAGTCCTCTGACCTAGATGTTCAATACGCTGGACTGCTGTAGCTGCAGAAATATGAACATCCTTATTCGATATTTATTTTTATTTTATTTATTAAAGCTACTTATATAGCACCATCAATTTACACAGCACTTTACATATTTATTATACATTCACATCAGTTCTTGCCTTCTGGGAGCCTACAATCTAAGGTCCCTAACTCACATTCATACACATACTATGGCCAATTTAGACGGGAGCCAATTAACCTACAAGCATGTCTTCGAAGTCTGAGAGGAAACCAGAGTACCCAGGGGAAACCCACACAGGCACAGGGAGAACATGCAGACTCCAGGCAGATAGTGCTGAGGTTGGGATTCGAACCGACAATCCTAGCATTGCAAATATAGTTCTTTGTCTAGCTGTAGAAGGGAAGTATGGTCAAAGCTCTTTTGGCCATACTTCACATGTGGGTCACAGGAGTGCACTTCCTTATGCTATCCTGTGACCCAGAAGTCACAGAGCTTCTCCAGAATCTGTATGTATCTGGACAATACACAGGCAGCTGGCTCAGCCTCTCAGTGACCCGATGAAAGCCTGAGCCAGACACTCCCACCCCCTCTCCCTACCCGGTGCTCCAATGAGCAGTGGAGGGGCAGAGCACAGAGTGGTGACTGACAGTCAATGATTTCTGCTAAGAGCAGACCAGAGAACTGAGCGATCAACAGTCATGCAATCACTTAGTTTTTGGGCTTAGAGCTGGCAGGGGACAGCTTGCAGCATCACTTGTTGCTGCAGCATGGCAGTAAAAATGTATGTGTGTAATTTTTTTTATGTTTCTCCTTTAAACTGGCCTTACACTGCTAGAAATTCAGCTAGTTCAGTAGGGTTCGGTCGATTGGCTGCAGCCGCTGATCAGCGCATTCTGACATCAGAGGGTGCCACTGGCAAAATACAATGTCACGAAGAGGGAGATTTCCTGCATCCCCCTTTGAAAGTGTATGGCTGAAAGTTATAATGTAGTAATCCACAGCAAGATATCAGAATCCATCTTTTACTGGTCTGATTTCAGCAGAGGGAATTCTACTTAGGTACTGCACTGAAGATTAAGGTTCCATGCACACTGACTTAAAAAAAAAAAAAAAAAAGCTGCTCTTAGAGGAGTTTAGCATTTTGCCTGTAAAAGCAACTAATGTTATCCTATGTGTCCATACACATTAAGTAGTCTAGAGGTATTTTTTTTTTAATCCCAGCGTTTAGAGGCAGAAAAAAACCCTTCTGTTTTGCACTTTTGAGAGTGTTTTTCTGGCAGAAAAAAAAAAAACACTAAAGACCCCTAAACACTGGCACAAAAAAAAAAAAGCTCAAAATTAGCAATTTTTTTACTGCCAAGAGCACTGGTGTTTTTTGGCCCTATTCACACCTGAGCGTTTTGTAGTGCAAAGCTCTAAGCTCCAAAACGCTCAGGGCAAAAATCAATATTACTCTATGGAGATGGTTCACATCTCCACTCCAAGTCGCTTGAAGCAGAATGCCTGAAGCTCAAAAAAGTTTTGGAGCTACTTTTGCAGCTCAAATTGGGCAGATTTGCACATTTTTGGCACGCTTTTATTCCCATAAAAAAGAATAGAAACGCGCGCTTTAAGCGTTTTTGCGCGCTATCGCACGTTTTGTGTGATTTTCTGCTCAAATGAAAAATTAAACAAATAGTAATACATGAATAAATAAATGTAAAATAAATACAATAAATACACAAATAAAAAATGATAAGCAGCACAGTGGCTAAATGGTTAGCACTTCCGCCTAGTATGTATATGTATGAGTGTGAGTTAGGGACTTTAGATTGTATGCCCCTTGAGGCTTAGGGACTGATGTGAATGTACAATATATATGTAAAGCACTGCATAAATTGACGGCGTTCTACAAGTACCTGAAATAATAATAATAATAAATAAATAACCTCTAACCTTAATAAATTATTATTATTAATAACAATAGTAATAATAATAATAATAAAAAAAACACTGAACAAAAAATACAATACTAAATACAATAATAATAAAAAAAATTGGTATTATTTTATTACTTCTTTAGGTTTTACGGGGTTAAGGTTATGGGTTAATTATAATTAATTATTACAAGTATTTATTTATGATTATTTTATTTATTTGTGTATTTATTTTACATGTATTATTAATAATGTATTTTTTGTTCGGGTTTAGGTGTTTATTTTTTATTATTATTACCATCCTAACCCTAACAAAAAAATAAGAAGAAAATAATAAAGTACTCTAAATGAATAAATAATAAGAATATTAAATAAAATACTGTAAAAAAATTTTTTTTTAATTTAATAAAATACTAACCCCAACCCAAACCCTAACCCTTAAATCTAACCCTAAACTAAGCTTAACTCTAACCTCTTACCCTAACAAAAAACAAAATAATAATAAATGAATAATAATAAAAAACCTAAAAGCTGACGGTAAAACTAAAAAAACTTAGCAACAAGTGATGCAACAGATGATATTTTTCTCTATTGGCTAACAAAAAAAAACACCAAAGCTCAAAAACAGCTAAAAAACGCTGTATGGAAACATGCAAAAAAAAAAAAAAGAAAATCGCATAAATTTTGCGCAAAAAAGCTACGCTCAGATGTGAATGGAGCCTTTGTAAGCCAGTGTTCATTAAACCTTCGAGTATAAAGTGTAGTGTGTTTGTAGTAAGCACATATTCCATGGTATTATACCAGTGTTTCCCTTAAAGTAATTTTCATGTGACTTTTAAATTGTAAGAGCTTGTGCTTCTATATTTTTCTATATTAAATATACAAGTTTTGTAGAAGAACCACAAAAGAGAACTCTGTATCTGACTCTCATTCAGTCTCTCTATCTAACAACTGCTGAGATGTCAGCCTCATAGGGAGTGCATTGTTTTCAAGGAGTTGGCACTCATATGCTTGTATTGTGAGTAGTAAAGCACAATCATTGTGTATCGCTGCAAAGTAGAAAGAAAGAACAACATTATGGGTGTTTTATATAATTAGAGGCTGCAAACAGTCTATAGTTTCTAATCTGACAGACCGGTCTTATAAACTAGTACTGATGCACGGTCAATTTTCCTTTACCAGGAAAGTGATGAGCATATATCAGCAGAGACTTGAATGAAAAGTGTTCTTCCCCAGTCACATAAGAGTGTGGGGCAGGGGTGGACTCATGGGGCCCCCGGGCAATAGGGGATCATGGGGCCCCTGTGTCCTTGCCCAAACTCAAAAAAGCCTATGAAAAAGGTACCAGGGGCATCTCATGGGGCCCCCTACTGACCCCGGGCCCTCGGGCAGTGCTCGAGTTTCCAAATGGTCAGTCCGCCCCTGGTGTGGAGAACAACTACCCTCCAAATAGTTTAGCAGCTTGGTTAGTGGGTTGTGACTACAAAGAAGAGCAATAGGGAGAACATCAATGCAGACATTATAAATAGAAATGACACAAATCTTGAAATGTACACAGCAGCTAAACTTAGAAATGTTATTTTTCAGGAGTGCATTACTCTCTACCCAAGTTGCTGCAGAAAATAAGTAGCAGAAAAAATGAGTACGCCCCCGTTCACACTGCATGTGAATTAGAAATCATGCGACTTCCTTTGAAGTCGAAGATTCCAAAGTCACATGTCAATGCGACTTTGGGTGCAACTTGAAGACATCTGTAGAAGTCACACCTGTAAATCAGCAAAAGTTAATGGTGCAACAAAATGAAAATTCTGGTGCCAAAACTGAAACCAAAAATCCAAAATGCACTTGTCCGAAAACCGAAATGCAGTTTTTAAAAATGAGTATATATTTTTTGGAAAAAATACTCCGATTAAAACAAAAAAATATATATACCCCAATTTCTTTGTAAAATATGTAAAATATGAAAGAGGATGTTACGGCGAGTAAATAGATACCCAACATGTCACGCTTTAAAATTGTGCACGCTCGTGGAATGGCGTGAAACTGCGGTACTTACAAATCTCCATGGGTGATGCTTTAAAAATGTCTACAGGTTAGCAGTGTAAAGTTACAGAGGAGGTCTAGTGCGAGAATTATTGCTCTTGCTCTGACGTTCGTGGTGTTACCTCACGTGTGTGATTTGAACACCATTTACACATGTGGGCATGGCCTACGTATGCGTTCACCACGTGGGTGGACGGGGGCACTTTAACCACCTTCCACCCGCCATATAGTACAATGACGGGTGCAAGGTGGTTTCTCGTTCTGATAGGACGTCATATGATGTCCTTCCATTCTCACCGCGCATGCGCGGCTCAGGGAGCACGCAGCGCGGCGATCGCCGGTGTGCTGTGTCCCTCGGACACAGCGGATCACGGAAAGAGCCGAAGATGTCGGCTCGGTCATGTGATCAGCTGTGTCCAATCACAGCTGATCACATGTAAACACGGAAATGCCAGTTATCGGCATTTCCCTCCTCTTGAGCTGTCACGCTGACAGCTCGAGAAGAGAGGAGAGAGCCGGTAATCGGCTTTCTGCGGAGGGGACATGTACACTGATCATCAGGGCACTGATGATCAGTGTGCCCTGATGATCAGTGTGGCTCCAGAAGTGCCACCTGTCAGTGTCCATCAGTGCCTTTCTTTAGTGCTCATCAGTGCCTCGTGCCAGTGCCCATCAGTGCCACATCAATGCCACATATCAGTGCACATCAATGCCACATATCAGTGCCCATCTGAGCTGCCTTTCAATGTCACCCATCACTGCCAGTCAGGGCCACCTATCAATGCCAATCAGTGCCACCTATCAGTGCCGCCAATCAGTGCCGCCTATCAGTGCTGCCCATCAGTGTCATGTATCAGTGCTGCCTTTCAGTGCCCATCAGTGATGCCTGTCAATGCTCATCAGTGCAACCTACCAGTGCCTCCTCATCAGTGCCCATCAGTGCCACCTATCAGTGTCCATCAGTGCAGCCTATCAGTGCCCATCACTGCAGCCTCATTAGCACACATCAGTGAAGGAGAAAATTCACTTATTTACAAAATTGCATAACAAAAACTAAGAAAAAACTTTAAATTTTCTGTGGTTTTTGGTTTGTTTAAGAAAAAATAAAAATCCCAGAGGTGATTAAATACCACCAAAAAAAAGCTCTGTCTGTCTCAAAAAAATGATAAAAAATTTCATATGGGTACAGTGTTGCATGACCGCGCAATTGTCATTCAAAGTGTGACAGCGCTGAAAGCTGGAAATTGGCCTGGGCAAGAAGGGGGTATAAGTGCCTGGTAGGCAAGTGGTTAAACTTTTTTTTTATTACTGTTTTTGTTGTTGTTTTTTTTTTTGGACTGTTCCTTTAAAAATGTTTTAATCACTTTCATTCCTATCACAAGGAATGCATGCATCCCTTGTGATAGAAATACTTAGTGACAGGTTCTCTTTATGGAGAGATATGGAGTCAATAAGACCCCACATCTCTCCTCTACAATGTAAAGCGTTAGATTAAAAAAAAAAGCATTGATCTGGTGCTTTAACAAAAAAAAAAAAAAAAAAAAAAAATGGGAAGTGACATCGCTCCAGTCCTCAAAGGGCATAGAGAGGAGTGGCGGCCACCTTTCCTTCACTCATCTCTATGCCCAGAGCCAGGATCGATGGTTTCTTAGGTAAGGCTGAGAACTGGCGGGCGGACGGCGAAGGGCGGGGTTTTTTGGCACCTGTATCGGTGGAGTTTTTCCATTTTGGCCAACAGCCAGAAGGGGTGTTTTCAGCTGAAACGTTTTGGCCACCGAAATTTCGGTGCACCCCTAGCAAAGTAGTACAGTAGCTACTTTTTAAATCGGTGTGGCTTTGATGAAGTCGGAGTTGCACCAAATAGAACAGTTCCATTGCTGATCATTGGATGCGATTTCTCATGTGATTTGAATGGTCAAAACGTATGACAAGTTGCATCAGTGTGGACCAGGGCCAAGCTGACTGCACAAGCAAGGATGTATGCATATTCTTTACCTGTGAAGCTCTGTGCCCCCAGCACTGGCCAGACCTCCACTCTATACCAGGGTTTCTCAACCATTTTCCAGTCAGGGCGCCCTTGCAAATAATTGGCCCGTGGCACCCCAGTTAAGGCTTGTTTCACATTACTGCGTGTTGGGGTACACATGCATTCCTGACATGCACACAAATGCACTGCTCTTTAGCAGACACACAGGTGGGTCATTAATTCTTAATGGTACCCCTGTGCAATAACAAATGCAGTGCGTTTTCTGTGTGGTGTGATTTAAAAAAAAAAAGGGCTGGGGACTAGGGCCAGTTTGCACCAGAAAGGCATACCACAGCCTCCCTCTCTTTCACCTCTGTACCCCAAACCTCTATTTCTGTTCACCTCTGTACCACAAACCCCCTCTTTTATCACCTCTGTACCCCAAACCTCTATTTCTCTTCACCTCTGTACCCCAAACCCCCTTTTTTTTCTCACCTCTGTACCCCAAACCTATATTTCTGTTCACCTCTGTACCCCAAATCCCCTCTTTAATCACCTCTGTACCCCAAACCTCTATTTCTGTTCACCTCTGTACCCCAAACCCCCTTTTTAATCACCTCTGTACCCCAAACCTCTATTTCTGTGTCACCTCTGTACCCCAAAACCCCCCTTTTTTCTCTCTCACCTCTGTACCCCAAACCTCGATTTCTGTTCACCTCTGTACCCCAAACCTCGATTTCTGTTCACCTCTGTACCCCAAACCCCCTCTTTTATCACCTCTGTACCCTCTGTTGGCACACCTTTGTACTCCACTCTCTCTGCTAACCTCTGCATGCCAACCCCCACCCTCCCTTTTGATCCCTTCTGCTCCCTGCTTTCCTCTCACTAGAGCTACAGAGCAGGACTGGTCTTCCATTGCGATCCACACAGCTGTGGGTGGTGCTGGCCAGGTACTGTCCTGTAGGGGGAGGTGGAGAGCTCAGGATTTAGAAAGCCGCCTCCCCCTGCCACTGGTCCTTACTGCACTGTGCCGACTGAGCTCCTGCTGTGTTGATGTTTCAGAGCAGAGCGGGACTTAGGTCGGATATGACAACTTTTTTTAACCAGGATGCTGTGGCACCCCTGAGGACCTTAGGTGGCACCCCGGTTGAGAAAGGCTCCTCTATACAAGTAACACTTGTAATATTTCAAGAAAACTATACTGAAGAAGGACCAGTGAAATTTTAGTGTCTATAGAAATAAACAGTAAATACACTGTGGGGAATAGCACCATCCACGTCTAATATGGTCCAAAGGGAAATATGCTGCACTTCTGTATTAAGATCCAGTAAGCGCAAGATGGCAAAATGCTAATGTGACCTATGGGCCCACCAAGCCTTCAAAGAAGCAGTCCAACCGTCAAAGCACTAATGTCTCTTCACATGGGCTCCTTGAGATTTTTGATGACTGCAGACTGTAATGGGCTTCAATAGACACAGTCATGCACCTTTGTTGTGTGTATGTAACAACCTGTGGTGACCATAGAGGCATATCGCTACTATTATGTTGCTGCAATTTCCACTCATTCTAATGGGGACTTTCTACTCCACGGGTACAAGCAAGGCACAAACTTTCCATTGTTGTAGGTGGAAGCAGGGGGCCCCATGAATTGCCCCTGGTACCTTTTTTTATAGGCTTTTTTGAGTGTGGGTAAGGACACAGGGGCCCCATGATCCCCTATTGCCCTGGGGCCCCATGAGTTTTCAGTCTGCCCCTGGGTGGAAGTTGAGAAGGGCATGCTTAGGAGAGGCAGGACATGATGCTAAAGATTTTGCAGATGCTGACCACACAGCCAAGACTCAGCTGAGCAGTGACAGGTTAGTGTTTGACTTGTAAGCAGTATAATGAAGGACATCAGAGCCCACCAAGTGTAACTGTACCAAATGCCAAGGTGCACTTTAACCGCTACAGCTAACTGCTACAGGGTGGCACGGGTGTGCAAAATCATGTATATATACATGATTTTGCAGTTCTGGGTAGGGAGCACACATGAACCCTACTCACACCGCCATTTGCAGCCTTGGCTGTCAATCACTGGGTCCCGGCCACTTATTCCCTGCCGGCACCCAGCGATCTCCGAGTATTGCCGACAGGGGAGAGACCTGTATGTAAACATTACGGATCTCTCCCCTGTCAGCTCCTGCACACTGGTTTGTGTGGCTCTGCATAGTCTTAAAATTTCATTTGGGTGCATCATTGCATGAAGGTGCAATTATCCATTAAAGTAACACAGCGCCATACCGCAAAAAATGGACTGGTCAGGAAGGGGGGTAAATCCTCTGGAGGGCAAGTGGTTAAAATGAAGTGTGCTCATATAGTGTACTTTGGCAGTGTTAAAGTATTACTAAACCCACAACAGTAAAATGAGTTTGTATATGCAGTAAAGCATGCTTTGTATACTCACTGTGGAACCTAAGGGGTTAATTCTGTGCATTGTTTAAAAAGGCTGTTTGATCCTTTCTTCTCTGCCCCTCCCCTTGTTGAAATGACCACCTCATACAAACTGAATTCATAGTCACATACACATGCTCAGTTTGGTGTGTATTGCTAGAGAGGTTTTTTTTTTCCTTTGGAGAGTGCATGTGATCAGCACAGCGCCAATCAGCACTGTCCAGATAGAGGGTCAGGGGTTTCACATCCTCCTAAAGCAGAAAGAAAACTCCTCCTACAAGCTTTAACCAGTGATCTGCTGAAGTCACAAGACTGCTCTAAATGCTGATGAGAAAAGGCATTTAGCAGTTTATATTTACTAAAATAACTGCACTTCCATGTTGTGTCTACTGTGGGAGATCAGATATAGGGAATGCAGGGTCCGGGGTTTAGTAACACTTTAAAGTCGTTCTAAAGCCTAAAGTTTGTTTTTTTTTTTTACCCTAATTCATTCTCTTGGCCATGCAGATTGATAGTGGCAGGAGCCATTGGCTTCCGCTGTTCTCAAATTCTGTGAGGGAGAGGGCGGCAGGGCCGAGTCGCACTGTCTATGTTAACGGACATAGACAAGGTGGCTCGGGAGTGAATCTGCATGAGTGACCCCACTCGGCTTTCTGTGGGGTCACTCATGGGAACTCACTCCCGGGCACTCGGTGTGGGGGACCAGAGAAGAGGAGGATCGGGGCTGCTATGTGCAAAACCATTGTACAGAGCATGTAAGTATAGACACGGTTGTTATATTATTAAAAAAAATAAAGTTTTACAATCACTTTAATCTTAGCATAATTTTGTATGTGCCAAATTTTTAAATCCTTTCTTTTCCATACTTATTTCTGCATAAAAAAAAAAAAGTGATGTATTAGTTAGCCACTAGAGGTAAGACGGATCGTCCAATGCATATTGCATAACCAAATAGGTAGGTAACACCCTATCTTTAAACAGTGACTAAAAAAAGTACACATAAACAGCGCTATGTAAAACACAATGTCCAATTGATATAAAAAGGATAAAAGAAAGAAAAAAAACTTCCACCAAAAAAAATATAAAATAAAATAATGTGAAAAGTTCAATTTATTCCAGTGTTAAGTGTCTCTTTAAGATACAGTGATCCACCATCCATGGTAGTTTAAATAATTACTGGTTTAATAACTTATTTTATTTTCGTATACCAATATTTTCACCATTTCTTGAGCGCAGGGATATAGGCTGGTTTCATCCTATATATTTTTAATACCCTATCTTTGGTGTCAGCCAACTCCTTATGATGAGGAGCAGCAAGGCACAACCATTGTACACTCCACAGCAGGAAGCAAAGCATGCATATGTAATATACGCAGTTACTCTTCGTTAGAGGAGTTAAACTATATCCCATGTCATCTTACCATCAGGCATTTACCAACAGCCTGCAGTCCTGGAGCTCAAAGTTCTTAGCATGCTTTTTAAAGATCTTTACAGTTTTTTCTTTTCATTTGAAGAATATCCCTAAGGCTGCAGCACAGCAGTTCAAAAGGAAATACCTATATATGTGTTGAAGACAATGATGTCAATTTTTGGGTTCAATCCTTACTGAAGACAACTACAAGATAAACACTGCAAAATCACATAATAAAAAACAGATACCTTGTTTAAAAATAGCTGCTAGTTTTTAATATCTAGACTGCCAAGAGAGATT